TAAACAATGGTAATATGTAAACATGGATAACAACTATGCTGTACAGTATTGGATACAGACGTAATTATACACGCTATAGATTATACAGTATAAATTATAGAGGGTCTCAATGGCCACACCTTCGGTCTAAAAAATGTTTCAATACAAAGTGATAACGCGTGCCCCCTATTTTCCAGCAATAAGAAAAACAGCCTTGATGACGAGCATAAATACTTATGGGCAGAAAGGATCAATATCATCATCCATTTAGCCAACGACATTTTCCCATGTAAATACATTGGTGTTCAAGTACGGATCAGCTTATGAAAAAATACTAAATTCCTGATGTTTGAAGATCGGAATCGAAAATCTTTATGCGAAAACTGCGACATGGTCTTAGAAACATACTTCAAACTTAGTTCTGAAATCTCGACCCATGTTATCAAGTTACATTCGCACCGAGAGACAACTGATCAGAGGCAATTTTGGGATGTTAGGTGCAAGATGACTGCCTTCCCCCAGCTTTGCCAATATAATTTTTTATAATTTCGAGCTTAATATAGTTCTATAAAATGATTATTAATTTTTATTGCTAATGTTTCGTATAAATTGCTTAGCAAAAGGATAGAGGAAAGTCCGTACAAAGACTCTGCCGTTAACTCAATTCTACTTAACTTAATTTTCTCGTAATCTTCAGTTTAAAAAATGCTAAATCAGTTTTAATAAAAATATTTATAAGCAAAACTGTTATCTAAATCTCTTACACTCCCATATTATGTATATATATTTGTATATGCATATGGCTATGTACGTATATATTTATAAATATGATTATTTTTTCATTTTTCATTTTTCAATTTTTTTTTTTTTTTTTTTTGTACTTAAAACCCATCGAAGATTAATGCGATTGAAAAAAAGCATAAAATTACTTTAGATATTGAAAACGAATTATGTTTCTTCTATAACAATAAATTATTGCTTTTAAAATTGAATTCGTTTTGTTTTCACTTTTGAACAAAAAAAAAAATGCAATCAAAAAAAATGATATTCGGATCGAATATTTTATACTCATCACCGTCATCCTATGAAAGATTGAAAAAAATAATATTGGGTGGACGTGAACAATTTTCGATATTCTTTCAGAGTAATTTTGTCAAAATTTCATCAAAATCGTATATCTGTTTTAGTTTACGAGCAACGAACAAGCGAAGGACACGGAATGTAAAGATGTTCTCTGGTTGAACTGCATAGACGTGGGGCGTTGCGAGCGTGTCCTTTGACTTCTTTAGGCTATGTTCAAACTGTTTTGCAAGAATGTGTACAACAGGTAGTCTGACCAGCACACGGACACAGGGACATGCTTACATGCAGACTGAATTTGACATTAGTCAAAAATTTGTATATTTCACGTAGTTTCGGAAGCCTACCTCTGAGCCCTATGAAACTTTTGACAAGAAAATGAAATTTTTCATCCATCATAGCCTTTGATGCGTATTACGATTCTTTTCCGTTTTTATACAGATATTTTGCATCGCCAATAGGAACTACGATCAAAATTTTCTAGATTTATCTGTCGCAGTTTATGAGTAATAAGCAAAAGACCAACTTTTTAACCCTTTTAAAGAACAGAGGTGTTTCCACTCTACGTGGTGTCGTAGGCATGCCGTTCGACCAATTTGGTCTATTTTCAGTACAAGCTTGAGTACAAGAACTTGCAAGTTGAAGTCGATAGCTTCATTTTTGGCGGCCGGGTGAATGGTTACATCAGACTTCATATAGATGGACAGACGGACAAACGAAAATGTTTCTATCAGATTCAGAATTTGATGCAGATCGTGGGCTCTCTGCAGTTTCGTTCTGGGCGTTGTAAACGTTTTGACAAAATGATTATAACTTTCATCCATCATCGGTGATGGGTATAAAAAACAACATTTTATCGCTTTCCAAAGAAAATGGTATAAATCGATAACATTAAGAAATGTATTTCGATTAATGATAGACGCTAAAGAACAGTCTCTTGATTCCCTCATACCCAACTCTTGCAAAAGATTCTCTCGCAGCACTTGCAATTGTCTTGCATTTGTCTTGCCTCCTGATTGCTTAATGTATTAAAAAAAAAAAAAAAAAAAAACAAAGTGATTTCAAAATTGTGATTAACCCGCTTTGCGTTTTACAAAGGTAAGGTCATTCAGTTTATAGCTTATTGAGTAATACGATCTCAATTTATGGCTGCCGAAGATTCCAATTTTATTGCTGGTTACTCTTCACTTACTTGTTTAGGTGAAATTTTTGCAAAAAAAATTCTATCATAACAAAATCTCTTGATATTTATTAGACTTAAGACATTCTGACTTTAGCAGATATATTTAATATCTTTTTTTTTTTTTTGTTTTTTGTTTTTGTTTTAATTTTTCTTTCTATATCAATTTTTGTGTGTGGCGTGTTTTGAAGATCGAAAGACAAGAAAATAAAATAAAAAAAAAAAAATAAAAAAAAACTACAAATAATATAAAAACTTTAAGTGGTTTAAAGCGAATTTAAGACACTTATGTCATATATATATAGAGGATAACATTTAAATTTGTTTAAAAAAAAAGGAAAGAAAAACAATTAATATATTAAACTTGTAATTTATTCACAGATTATCTAAGCTTTTTTTTTTTTTTAAGATAATACATTTCCACGAAAAGAAAAAATAATAATATTGTGTTTTTTTACTTGATAGAGAAAATCAATAAAAAAAATCATCGCAACTTTTGTACACATCTTCTCTTGGCGATTCCATGGAAAGCTTCATATTTCAGCATTTAAATAACTGTTTGTGCGACGATGAGTATTAAATCAGATCAGTATGTATCTTTTTACCAAGAAAGGAATGCGCATTAAATCTTTGTTGTTTTTTCCTCTACATAGATCAACTTTTGTTTTACTAAGAAAAAAACAAATCTATCTAGAAATGAAGTCAGGCTCTATTCAAGTCTTGGATGTCTTGTTATTGTGTTTCACTTTTTCCGATATTGAATGTCGGCAGTTTTACTTCTACTTGCTACCAACTTCTTGTAAGAAGAAAGAAGCAAAATAAAAAAGTCAAACAAATATATAAAAAGCGAGAGCTTTTTCGATCGTCGAACGATAAATGGGTTTTTTACAATTTTTTTTATTTATCACATTTTCCAATGCAGCATCTATTAAGTACAGGATTAAAATCCTATAGCTATTTAGCTACAGGAGATTAATTGTAAAGTTCTCACAGCTCTCGGTTTACTGCTTCACTTTCATCATCGAGGAATGGACTCGAGTATGAATTCGATTAAGGGATACCGCAATGTATATGCATCGGCATAAGATCTTGACTTGATTTAATCAGGTTGTTCTATCGCTTGTCCGTCCGTCCGTCCGTCGTTTACTCAAAATAGAAATCATGTTTTTAATTAACAAATTTGTAAATATAACTGAGATCTTTCTAAAAATATTTATTTACTATAAGATAAAAAATATGGTTGCAGCAGATATGGTAATAAAATATAAATATATTGTAAAAACAAAAAATCGAAGAAGAATTCCAACAATGAGCAAAAACTTTTGTAATATTTTTATTTTGGTTAAGTAAATTTTTATATTTGGCGGAATAATTAGAAAACTACTATCACCGATTGTTACGTAATTTATTGTAATATTTAACAAATTTTAATACTTAACCTGAAACCCCCCTTGGAAAGCGATCGTAAGCAATGTGATCTTTACTATTTCAAAATTTTCTCCGATAAACTAACAATCTTTTAAATATTTCGATGCAAGCTTCTTCTATCCTTTACAAAAGTCTTTACAATTATTTCATTCTGGGCTGACTTAAGCCCTGATTACGAACAGAGACAGAGTTACTGCTCTAATCGAACTAAATATAAGTCTCAAAGGTGCCTTTAAATATTCTTCATTTCACAAAGCCGACCATTAGTGGCTCTGGAAGATGAAATTTTTCACAAATCTCATAGCAATGGCTCCCTTTTAAGCTGACCACTTAAGTCAATCAACAACATTTAAATTGTTTTATTCTGGGCTGAATTAAGTCCTGATTAGGAAGAATGAAAGTCACTACTCTAACCCGGCT